TTATAAAATAATTATAACAGAGCGCTTTTACGCGTGTTTATAAAAATCACCATCACAGTACTTGAGTTAATAAAAACTACGGTGCCTTCCATAATGAATTTCAACTTAACATCAAGAAGCTAATTTGAGAACTAGAAAGGATTATTATAAAATTAAATATATCTATATTATTCAATGAAACATGCTTGAATATATATATATATATTTTATATATATATATATATATATATTTAAAGATATTTTTGTAGGTAAAAAAAATTTAATGCTCGAAATAAAAGTATAAAATTTAATATTACAAGACATATTAAAAAGTATTAAATAATAATAATAATAAAACTCAACATATGTGTGTTTGTGTGTGTGTGTGTGTGTGTGTATTATAGGAGATTAAATCAGAAACGTTAAAATCGCTACTGAATAGCTTTCGTGTTTCGACACTAAACTGTGCCTCTTCAGTCAGGCGATGGTAAATGACTGGTGAGTAAATGATCATTTCAAATCAAAATACGCCCTCTTTTTTTTGTTAATTCCATTGAGTTTGAACTGACCATCCCTGGGATTGAACTTATAATTACTGTTGCCAAATTCACGAACCACTGCTTTAATTAATGAATCTCAATTGGTGAAGTTGGTCCCTTAAGCCTAACCTGGGTGCTGATGAGTGCCGCTGCTGTGTGTCACACTTGACTGCATCCAACAAGGTTTCTCTTTTCTACTGTTGCTACCGATACTGCTTTAGCCTCGCTGTCTTCTTTCTTTATTAACGGCACCCGTGCCATATTTATTACTATTCTAAACCTACTAATGATGTTTTCATTGCCTACTTATGCGCTGATACTTTCAAACGTCTGACTCTCCAGTGTCCTTTTCTGTCTAGTATTTTCACTTCATTACACAGGGTTTGATGGCTTTCCTTTTTCCTCAATACATGATCAGCTATGACTGATTTCATTGTCTCATCCCTAATTTCATTTTTTTTTCCGGCCTTACATTTTATAAAAAAAAAAGTGATGATGACAGCAATCATGGAGATAATAAAGCCTTTTAATCAACTAAATCGTTGGACCCTGAATTTAGTGACATAATAATTGTGGTTTCCATGATATGAGGAATGCTGACTTGAGCTCAGAAACGATTGATTTGATTTGATTTCAAGGCAATTGTATGCCTTCAACGAGTATTGTTGGTAATTCTATGAATATTGATTGCATTCTCAAGAGTTCACCCATCTATATACTCACCATGCTTAACGTTGCTTAACCGAGTTTTCAACGTGATTTTTCAAAATTCGTTTAGCGGTATATCAACCGCTATGGGTTATGTAATTTCAAAATCTAAATAATTTGAACAATTTTATGTCATCAACTAGATATATTTTGAACGCACTAGTATGTCTTCAACTATAGAAAATCTATTGCTGCTAATTTTATTCTAAATAGGTATTATTGGTAATTCTTTTATATAAAAATGTATTGCTGGTATGTTTACTATAAAAATGTATTATTATACTTGCATGGTCTTTTATTTTGCATTTGGGAGTTCAGTATTTGCACATAACTAAGACTGTAAAAGGTGCTACCACTCCGGGTTAGGGTGGACCTGGGAACAACAACAAATAAGAGACGCCTCCACGCCCTTCAAAACCTCCAATCCCCCAATCAGATGTCGTCTTTGCCGACATACTTAGGACTACTTAAGAAGGGATGAACAACACTGACAACATAAGAATTAAATTCTAAGATTCTCCAACTATTCAAATGTAATGTCAATCGACGTGTCTAGATGCCTTGATCTATCCCCTATCCTTCTCTTCATCCTTTCCTCTATTACTCCTCTTTGGTCTCGTTCCAACCCTCTGTAACCCCTTGCGTGCTAGTGGCTTCCCAACTTGCTACCGGTGAAACGCTTAAAAAAAATCGATTGATGTTACATTTGAATATTTGAAGATTATAGCTATCAGGGAAGCAAGTAAGAGGAAGGAAGTTCCACTGTTGGGAAGTGCGAACGAAGAAACTGTTGGAGTAGAAGAGTGTTACATTTAACTGTTTTGAGACGCCAACCTAGTAGCACGCTTAAATTCATGCAGTCGGGGCAAGAGTGAAAACAGCTCGCCGGAGCAGTTGCCATGAAAATATATGTAGAAAAGACAGAGGGAAACCACATCACGCCTGTAAGAAAGATAAAGTGACTGGTGTCCAGATGTTAGGTCTGGATCTATCACATTTGTTGTTAAACCTATTTATGTGTATTACTAATACTTAATTTGTTAGGTGTAAGTTCCTTCTTGTCTGCAAAGATATATCGTTCAGACCTAACAAAATTTCAGCTCTCTTTTCTTTCTTTCTAACAACATTTTCTTTTCTTTCTATTGAATTCTTTTCACATATTTTAAGCGCGTATCTGTATTCGTCCTTATGCTTGTTTTTAAATCCTCGTTTGTCATTCGCGTTTTTCTTTATTCGTTTTCCTCTCGGACAAATGCACGAATATATTTTTTCACAGATATTTTTTCTCAATATTTTAAGCGAATCTCTAATCTATTTGAACTCACTCTCAGCCCACATCTAACTTCTTCCGTTCCAATTGAAGGACAGATAGCCGATCTGCAATTAATGCTACTGAACAACTTGTCAGAGCGTGTTCAATCACACGACACCTGCAGCAGCTAACCATAAGAACGCTGGAATCACGTCACCTGCCTACAGCTAAAATGACACCGATCTGACATAGCGGACATGCGTCACGTGATATTCAAATCGATTCCGGTGCGCCATGAAACGTGTTTTTTCCACTGGAAAGACACTTACGAGAATTTCGAAGAAGCAATAACGGTGAAACTAGCCAACGATTCCTGAAACGTAAGACGTGGAATTTGACACGGCGAGAAGTTTTACTTATGAGATTTTCTATTTTAATGGATGACTATAACTATTCCTGGTATACAATGCATTCCAGAAAAAAACTTCTGAGACAGAATAATTCTCTTGCCTACCGTGTCCCATCAGAAAGTGAACGATCATGGCTCTCCACTGTTTTCTTTTCTTTGTATATCTAAGGAAGTTTTGCATCACAGTTCTTACACTACTGACCGTCACTTGTTAGGTAGTTATTCATTTTTTTTCTCTTTGTTCCTCTTGATACAAAGTGAGAAAAGCCGCCTTGAAAAACTTAACACTCACAGGACGTATACAATTTTCCTGTGATGGTTAATTTCTCGAAGCCCATTTTCCATATTATGTGTCTTTTTTTTATTGAAAATGTCCTGCTTGCTCTGATTTTTCTTGAACTTCCTTGTTGCTCAAATATGCTGCCCAAGATATTCTCAACATCCTACTGTAGAGCCACATATCTGTCGATAGGATATATTATAGGTCTTTTGTTTTTGATTGCAAGTATCCACTTTGCCTCAATTTCGTTAAAACTTCCTTGTTGCTCACGTTTACTGCCATGGTATTCTCAGCATGCTACTGTAGAACAACATATCTGTTGATACGATATATTATAGGTTTTTTTTTATTTTTGATTGCAGGCGTTCTCTTTCCTCTTATTTTCTTAAAAATCTTCCTAATTACACACATATGTTGTCCATGGTATTATCGGCATCATTGTGTAGAGCCATTTATGTCTTGATACGAACAACACATATAAAGCAACATAACTCTTACCTCAAGTCTTCTCTTCATCTCTGAGGAAATTGTGCAACATTCAATGTCACATAGAAAGATAAGTAGATGTTTCTTTTCTTAGTTTCGAAAGATTTCCTGCGACACCGCAGGACCAGCAGAGAGGACAGCGGCCTTCAACCACAACAGAAATTGACCGGTCGCACATAGGTCATAACATTTGAGATGTCCATGAAATTTTCCCTGGTCAATTAGATCTTTATTTCAAAATCTTCGGTTGATATGCCGGCCTTACTTTTGATAGACAAGACATCGCTGACCTCCTTAATCTTGGCAAAGAAAAACCTCAAGTGGTCCTTCGTGATATACAATAGTACACCGTACAAGGTAAACTTTGTCTTTCTGGTAGCCTTTCTGTACTCAGTCTGCAACCTATCAGGCTTTGCTGTGAGGATGTTCCCGGCCAGAGATTTAACAACGTCTTCAGTTGCCAACAGGATGTCTCACATGACGTTATTTCTTCGGGCCAATATATTGACCATACTATGAAGGCTTTTTAGGGATTCCTCCATGGATACCCTGTTGACACCGATCAGTTTTCTTGTTTTTATGGTTAATAGAGAGATTAGTTGCCTTAAAAAAGCGATGGCACATGTAGAAGTTCGTTGCCTGGGATTAACATCTGATATTGTTCTTTCGGGCCATTGTAGTAATGTGGTATTTTCTTTGTTGGCCTATCCACTGCCCACGCCGATGAACTAGCTGTGGGTGTCGGATCTCGTTGGTGGCGTTCTGACGTCACCGTACACAATACAACAATTCAACAGTAAAATATACACGTGATGAAAACAAAAATACTGATAAGCAATCACAATAATAACGAATTTAGACAAAATGTTACTCGTAATTTCAGACAAAAATCTGTTACGAAAAACTCCAACGTAACTTGAAAAAACTTGAAATTAACTAACGTGAAAACGTTCTCCCGTTCTGCTTATCTAAAGATGGCTTGATGACTTCTGCGCATACTCAGGCTCTTTTATTCACATATAAAAATATGGCTGACACCGTACTTCCGTGTTTGAACAATGGCTGAAACAGTGCTTCCGTTTCCTTAGTTCCCGGTTACAGCAGAAAGAACGAAAATAAAATTGATTAATGAACGGAGGTGGAATAAACGAAAGAAGGAATGAAAGGGAGAAAGAAAATGAGGTAGAACGAAAAAAAGAAAATAATGAATGCAAGAAAGGAAGACAGAAGGCAAGATAAAATGAAGGAACGAGAGAAAGAAAGGACAAATGAAATGGAGAAGGAAGAAACGAATGATAGAAAGAAGACAGAAAATAAAAGGTGAAACGAAAGAATGAATTAATGGACGAATAAAAGAAAGAAAAAAAGAAAGAAAGAAAGAAAGATCGATGAAGGAAAGAAAGAAAGAAAGAAAGAAAGAAATAAGAAGGGGTCGAACGAATCAACGAAATAAGTAAATGAAAAAGAAAGGAAAGAAATAAAATGTTAAAAGAAAAAAAGAAAGAATTAATGAACGAACGGACGAAATAAATAAATAAATAAAGAAAGAAAGAAAGAAAGATCGATGAACGAAAAAAGAAAGAAAGAAAGAAAGAAAGAAAGAAAAAAAGAAAGAAAGAAAGAAAGAAATAAAGATCGATCGATGAAAGAAAGAAAGAAAGAAAGAAAGAAAGAAAGAAAGAAAGATCGATGAAGGAAAGAAAGAAAGAAAGAAAGAAAGAAGAAAGAAAGAAAGAAAGAAAGAAAGAAAGAAAGAAAGAAAGAAATAAGAAGGGGGTCGAACGAATCAACGAAATAAGTAGATGAAAAAGAAAGGAAAGAAATAAAATGTTAAAAGAAAGAAAGAAAGAGTAGAAAGAAAGAAAGAAAGAAAGAAAAACAAAGAAACAAAGAAACAAAGAAAGAAAGAAAGAAAGAAAGAATGAAAGAAAGGGCTGGATTGAACGAATCAACGAAATAGAGAAAGAAAAAAGGAAAAAGAAAAGATATAAAAGATTAAACGAAAGAAAGAAAGAAAGAAAGAAAGAAAGAAAGAAAGAAAGAAGGAAAAAAGAAAGAAAGAATTAACGAACGAACAGATGGAAGAAAGAAAGAATGAACGAGTGAATGAAAGAACGAAAGAAAGAATGAACGAATTAACAAAATAAATAAATAAAAGTTGGCAGAACGAAAGTGGGAAATAATGAAAAAAAGAAAAAAAAGGAAATAAGAAATAAGGCAAAATCAAACTCGGTAATGTTTAAAAAAATCAACGAATGAAAAGGAGAAAGAAAGAGCGAAAGACAGAAAGAAAAAAAAAACGAAACAAAGAAAGAAAAAAAAAAAAAAGAAAAAATTAGACAGAAGGAATGCAAATCAGTAAGAAATGGAAATGGATATAATTTAAAAAGATAGAGAGAAAAAGAAAGAAATGTAATATATAAAGAACAGTAAAAGAAATTCGGGAAAAATGAATGAAAGAAAGAACAAATATTTGATATATTTGAAAGTATCCATCTTGTGGTTTTTCTGTCGTTTCACTGATGACGATCAGCACGTGATTGTCTTTGCTTCTACAAATTCTTGAAAAAAATATTCCAACCAGCGATAATGTATTTTAAATAAGCTAGTTTCTCGCTTGCAAGCACCTGATGTTTTTTTATGTCTGGAGGCGTTATGGTATCAACAAGAGCCTACACACTTGCTTCATCGCGAAACGCGTTTATGATGCCACTTCAACCTTGCTTATAATTTTCCTATTCTGAGACAGGTTTCGTTTTATCAGTTTAGCACAAGATAATAATATAGGATAAAAAAAAAGGCTGTCTCTGGATTTTGACTCAAATTACCTCCCTTTCTCCCAAATCATTATGCAACAAGCTACGGCCTTTCAGTGCCAGAGATTGGAATTTGCGTTCACTTGTGGCGTGCAAGGTGCAGTCATTGGGATGCAATTTCATAGCTGTTTCTTTTTACCTTTTCCCCGTAAACAGGATCAAGCAGTAAGTCGTAACCTAGCTTCCCTGTGTTTTTCCTTAAATACTTTCATGGTAATTATTCTGATAAATTTTCCTCTAGACTTTGTTGTTATTTTATCCTCTCTCCCAACCCTGCACATACAAAGTCTACTTATGGACACTATTTAGGACTTCATAGAGACAAGAGGTATTGTGGTGACTGCAGTAAGAATGATAAGTAAGAATATATTGTTTGGGTGTAAGAATTACTGTTTTATGTTAGGGACTCTTATTGAGATAAACTACGTTTAAGTATGCGACAGATGAAAAACTGTCTCCCTCCTGTTGGCCTTGTGCCACATATTTTGTATTCATCAAAAAATTACTTTCCTTTAGGCTTTATGAATGTAAGTGCAGTACAAGACTGGCAGCAGAGTTTCAATGATTTACATATTTAAATAGCTAGATGTAACCGTAGGTTCTATGTTGACAGTTTCTTCTATCGCATTTCTCGTTTGAGGAACAGCTTCTTGCAACCCAGTCAATTTTAATCTTCTAAAATTTAAACGCAATGTCAATCGTTATCTTCTGTCTTCTTAATTCTTATTCTTTTATTGTCCTCGCTCTTTAATAGTAGTTTTTTTCTCATATTTTCTAACACTCAGCAGCCTCTTGCGTCTTAGCGGCTTTGTTGCCTTTTTTGGAGTGAAATGATTATAAAAATAAATAAATAAATGTTGGCATAAGTGTTATATATAATTTCAAATGACTGTATCTAAATTCAACTCCTGGGTATGACGATAAACTACATCCGGCAGTAAAGCCTCTGATCAGGATATTGAAGGTTTTGAGGAGCTTGGAACCATCTCTTAAATTCTGTTACTCCCAGACCCGACCAAAAAAAAAATAAAAAATAAAAAATAAAACACTATGAAAGTACATTTTAATAGTAAAAATACCGGGAATGCATTTTTTTTTCAAGCATTTCCCCCTAAGCAAAATAGGAGTGCCACTATCGCCCAGGGGGTTAAGGCGAGTAAAACTGAGAAAAAAAGAGTGCGGATAGGGTCGATTGAGGAAAGGATAAAACAACAGGGATGGCGATCGATGTTCAAATTTTTGAAGATTCTAGTTATAAGGGAAGCAAGCGAGAATTAAGTTCCAATATCGGGGAAGAGACTGTTAGGGTAGAAATGGCAGTTACATTTAACTATTTCAAGAATAAATGGGTGGGACCTAGATGCCAATCTAGTAGCACGCTTAAATTCATGTAATCAGGGCACCAGGGAAAAAAGCTCGTCAAAGCAGTAGCCATAAAAATTATAGACCGACAATAAATGACCTACAATACATTTTATCTGTAGTTGAAAGCATATAATTGCGTTCAAAATATATTTTGTTGAAGCCATAAAATTGCGTTGAAATTATTCAGATTTCGGCATTAAATAACACATAGTATTTGTTATACGGCTAAGCAAAATCAACCAAATAATCAATTTATCTAAATTCTGAAATTCAGGACCTAAAATACACAATAGGTAATGTAAGAAATGTAATATATAAAGAACAGTAAAAGGAAGGTAGGAAAAAATGAATGAAAGAAAGAATAAATACTTGATATATTTGAAATTTTACATCTCGTGGTTTTTCTGTCGTTTCCCTGATGAAGATCAGCACGTGATTGTCTTTGCTTGTATAAATTCTTTATGCATCGATTTACTGTTATAAATTGCTAGATGTAACCGTAGGTTCTATGCTAACAGTTTCTTCTATCATACTTCTCACTTGAGGAACTCTCATCCAGCTTCTTGCATACCAGCCAATTTTGATCTTCAAACATTTCAACGTAATGTTAATCGTTATCTTCTATTTTCTTAATTCTTACTCCTTCATTGTCCTCTCTCTTTAATGGTAGTTTTTTCTTCTCATATTCTCTAACACTGAGAAATCTCTTGCATCTTAGCGGTTTCCAATTCTATTTCCAGCTTGCATATTACGAATTCTGGTTTAAATTGGTAATGGCTATGTTTCAAGCGGGTTTTTATAGCAATTTTTTTCTCTGTTTTAACAGATAAAAATGCAGAATGTGTATACTAGCAAGAAAGGAGGGGATTTTTCACTTAACAGCCGAACGCCTAAGCCGATTTCGCCCCGGACAAACTACTAAGAAGTGAATCTTTCAGTGCGCCCATGTCGATACCGATAGTGGCTTTAATTGCAATACCGTGGAAAAATTGTTCAAGCCTCTCGGTTCTTGCCCATTCAGGGACACCTCAGACAGTGCATAATGACCCCGAATGTGCTCCCGAATGTGAGGTACTGACTGGTGCTTGAGCTAACATTAATTTCAACTTTCATCTAGACAAGAAAACTTCTACACAAGGTAAATATAAAAACAGATCAATCGTGGCTGGGTGGACTTGAGGCAGTGACATTTCAGTTAATAGCAGAACTCGCTAACCGATTGCCCTACAGACAAGTCACGTGAGGAAAGAATTGTTTGAAAAATGAATAGCATTTAAACATGATTAAATATATTGAAAAGCGAAATTAAAACAAATATGGTTCGTAGTAAGTTAGTGAATCATCGAGTAAATTATTCTTGTATTAAATCGATTTCATATTCACATCCACTTTGTTATTCAAGCAAAACATACATAAATAAACACATATATAACACACCCACAAACACACACACACATATATATATATATATATATATATATATATATATATATATATATATATATATATATATATATATATATATATTTTGGTAATCCGTATTGATAATTCAATTAGAGGCATATTTAACATAGTTTGTTCTGCTAGAAAAGCCTGGTAAAATCTTTGTCCATTTATATGTGTGTAAGAGTCAGTTTGATGAATTGGGATCGAATCTTCGATTCTAATGAAATACATACCATCATAGTCTTTTAAGTGAACGTTTTATTATAATAATTATTACAATAACTGATAAAAATAAAGGGTTAATTTTGGAAGTCTCTGTAGGTGAGCCAGATCGATATACACCTGATGAAGGCCGGAAGGAACAATGGATAAAATGTTGTGAAACAACAACAAAGATAAGGTACAACGGCTGAAACGTGATCAATAGTCCGCATGTAAATAAAGATGTCAATAGTTCGCATGTAAATAATGAAGATTCCAGAAATTCAGACAGAAATTGTCTTTTTTCTTCTTCTATAAGGATCTTTAATACACCCTTGTTTTCCTTAATACCCCTATAATGATACAAAACGCAGTTATCTCCCTTTTACCTAGATAGCATGTCTTCATACGGTGACGATAGTGGACGGTCATTCAGTCTTGTTTACAGCAGCCAAGCCGTGTGTTTGTATCCACAAAGAAAAAACAAAGAGTAGTGATGCGATTTCTCTGGTCGGACAGTGATTTAAGGACTGAAATTCATTGGAGACATTTAACACAATGGGGAGACAGTGCCATGTCGCTTAGAAATATGCATGAGTGGGCCGAGAATTTTGAAAGTGGCCGGACACGCGTGACGCCCGAAGAAGGAACAGGACGCCCGTCAATCTCCACGATTGACGAGAAGATTCACGAAGGTCGAGAGATGGTAATGGCGAACCGATGAAGTAGCGTGTTCTCTGCAGATTCCGATCACTGCACTTTGTTTCTCCTTGACGCACACTGCTCACGGAGCGGCCGCGTTTACATTGTAAATGCATCAAGAAAACTGGCGCGATCAAGCTCAAACTTCGATCACGTGACCATAACAGTCGCACACATGGACAGAAGTCCGTGGGAGAAATCTAAAGATATGCTATGGCGAAAGTGTGGTTAACCTTTGACTACTTATACTTAATAAAGAGACATAAAATGAAGACAAGGAGGTGTGGAGTTTGTTCCACATTCTTCTTTTATGTGCCCTGTCCATTCAGGACGTTGGCGATCATGGCTCTCCCTTTTCCCCTTTTCCTTTGTAGTTCTGAATAAGCTTTGTCTTTCTGCTACTCCTTCTATACTCTGGTCTGTCATCCACTTGCTTAAGCCCACTAGGATTGTCATACGTTGCATTCCCTTGCCCCCCCCTCTAATAGCCATGTCAGTATCAGATTTTCAAAGCCTTCCTTTCTTATTACGTGTCCCAGAAATTTCAGCTGCCACATCCTGATGTTAAGTATAAGTTTTTTTTTGTTTGCATCCTCACCAAATCTCATAGTCTTCCACAGGTTCGGTCCATGGTATGTTTACCACCTGTCCATAGTTCCATACACACGTTGCCTCGAGTATCTGCTTCATCTTTGAGGATACCTACCAATATTCACTGCCGTAAAAGAGGACAGATATCACGTAGCAGTTCAGTACGCCTTTTTTTTTTTTTTGTTACCACGAAATATTCCTATCTTTTAATACTCTGCCTAGCTTTTGGAATGCGTCTTTGGCCATCCCAAGACGTCTTCGGATCATCTCCGGGTTGCACTGACCACTTTAGCAAGTATATCCGACAGAAAGTTGGAAGGGGAGCGTAGGAGTTAAGAGGGATTTAAATACAGCTCCCTCTTTTCTTCGTCTCTTTTTTTTCTTTTAACATTTTTCTTTGCATATTCTTTTATCTTCCACTCACTAAATCCCCTTTTCCCTTTCGTGAGATATATATATAATATCTCTATCGACCCCCACCTCACCTGAACCAACACCTCCTGCCACAAATTTAAATCCGCCTCCTCCAACACATGTGAGCATAAATTAAAAATACTGAATTCTTCTTATACCTGAATATTTGTCACCCATTTATTTGTATGAAAATGTTGATCTGAGGAATTAGATCGAATTTCGATTCTAAAGAAAAAAATTATAATCACGATGAACCCTTAAAATTTTCTGATTCTGAATATATCTCTATCTATAAAAGGCAGGATGTGTGTGTGTGTGTGTGTGTGTGTGTGTGTGTGTAAAACGAATGCACCGCCGCAATTTTCGACGGATTTGCACCAAAATTTACATGCACATGCTCCAAGTTAGCGGGAAGGCCA